GAAATGATAGATAACATTATAAATCAAAATGCACAAATGTGCGAATACACAGCAGCCAACGGCTGAATACACAGAAGCCAACAGCTGAAAAAATGGGAGGACAGGTCAGAAGCCCGCCTAGAATCCCGACTAGCAACGCTAGAATAAAAAACACACTCACATCTAAACTAACCAACAACACAAACAACTAGAACAACTACAAGGACCCTAACAGGGTAATACCCTAGTGTCGGACCCCCAACGGATTAATAAGTTTGACACTCAGACTCATAGGGGCCAACGGCCCAAACCAAAAACACAAACCACAAACAACACAAAGACGAAAACTAAAGCAAGAACACAAGAAATAAATAAATCTGAAGCCCTTCCCCATCGAACGAGTAAGCTCGGACAAGCAATGAACGATTGACGTAAGACCAACCCAGGCCAAGCACCAGCTACCGAAACTGCAATCAAGCCTATACAGCAGCGGAACACAAATCCCAAACTAGTTCTCGGAGCAACCCATCAACAACCGAGAGAGCCATAGTCCATCCTACTCCGATTCAATCCGAACTCTTCTAACACCACTAGACGAGACCGATAGAAACTCCCCCGCCGCCTAACACCACTAGTCAACAGGGGATTAAGCAAGAGAGGACAGCCCTCTCCCTGGCCGCCACGACAAAGAACGACGCGGTAACTAGGGTCCCGCCCCGCCAGACGATTCGCACTCCACCATCACCCCCACAGACATCCATCGACAATCGGTCGGCCCCACCAGAAGAGGTGAAGCTCTGCCGGAGAACGGCAGATCTGATTCTCGCAAACAAAGAGAGAGAAGACGAGGCTTACCGGCACAAGTCGCAGCTCCTCCAATGACTGAAAAGAAGAATCCAATCGCCGGCCTTGCTTCGACCTCGAGTTGCGCCCCCGCCGTCCGGTGCTCCATCTACAACCTCGACTCTGCCGCCCCGTCAATGAACCATCTGTAGCTGATTTAGGGGCGCTCGACGCCAGCAAGGCCGCGAACAGTTGAGGACGACCCCAATCCTAGCAGTACCGACGATGAGGAAGGCTGATTCGCCAGAAATTCGAGGCTGTGAAGGTAGGGTTTCGCGAGAGGATTTGGGGCTCTTTTAACTCAAGTTATTTGCATTGTGGAAGTGAAGCTCTATTTTATAACAAATATGTAATTGGATATGAGAATACAAATTACTAAGAGAAACAGAAACCGATGTTGATATTTCTTTGACCTCAAGTTTTAGTGATCTTCACGGCATAGTAAAGTCTAATCAGGAATTGCTTGCATCTCATCACTATATATTATAATCAAGATTAAAATTATGATTGAAAAAATAAATTTCAAATAAATGAAAAAATAATTTTACTTTTTTATTAATATTTTACATAGATATATTAAGTATTTATATAAAAATAGTATTTACAAAAATGCATTTACAAATAGTTTATAAATATCTTAATTTATTTTTATATAAACATATATATTATATACTTATTTATAATCTGAATTAAATTATAATTATACACAACTATATGTTATAGGGGTTAAC